AAAAAAAAAAAAAAAAAAAAAAAAAAAAAGATTAGTTTAAACTTTTTAGTTGAAAGGTCTCAAAATTGAATGGCATAGGCTGGGCCTGATGGCTCACGCCTGTAATCCCAGTGTTTTAGGAGGCTGGTGGGTGGATTGCTTCAGGCCAGGAGTTTGAGACCAGCCTGGTCAGCATAGCAAAAACCTGTCTGTATTGAAAATACAAAAATATTAACCTGGCATGTTGGTGGGTGCCTGTAATCCCCGCTTCTCCAGGCTGAGGCAGAAGAATCACCTGAACCTGGGAGGCGGAGGTTGCTGTGCACCAAGATCGTACCACTGCACTCCAGCCTGGGCAACAGAGCAAGACTCTATCTAAAAAAAAAAAAAAAGTTGAATGGAATAAGGGCATTCCCTTTCCAGCTCGTTGAAAAACAGCAAATCATGTTTCTATATTAGCTTTATTTTTTGTGCTTAATGATTTAAAATTTTAAATCTGATTCCTCTTCCCACATACTTCAGCCACGTGTCTTTTTACCCACTGTTGTACATCTGGCAGTTTCAGTCATTCCTGCTCCTTGTTCCACCAGCTGTCCCCAAATGTCTGTTTTATGGTTGAGTGGCTTGAGCCAGGGCTCGGCTTTTATTTTATTTTATTTTTATTATTTATTATTTATTTATTTATTTATTTATTATTTATTTTTTTTGAGATGGAGTTCCGCTCTTGTTGCCCAGGCTGGAGTGCAATGGCGTGATCTCGGCTCACCGCAACCTCCGCCTCCTGGGTTCAGGCATTCTCCTGCCTCAGCCTCCTGAGTAGCTGGGATTACAGGCATGTGCTACCATACCTGGCTAATTTTTGTATTTTTAGTAGAGATGGGGTTTCGCCATATTGGTCAAGTTAGTCTTGAACTCCTGACCTCACAATATGCCTTCATGGGATTACAGGTGTGAGGGACTGTGCCTGGCACAGGGCTCAACTTTTATTTATTTATTTTAATTAATTAATTTATTTATTTGAGATGGAGCCTGGCTCTGTTGGCCAGGCAGTGGTGTGAATTGCAGCCTCCACCTCTCAGGTTCAAGCAATTGTCCTGCCTCAGCCTCCTGAGTAGCTGGGATTATAGGCACTCACCACCACACCAGGATAATTTTTGTATTTTTAGTAGAGATAGGGCTTCGCCTTGTTGGCCGGGCTGGCCTTAAACTCTTGACCTCAGGTGATCTGCCTGCCTTGGCCTCCCAAAGTGTTGGGATTACAGGCGTGAGCTACCACACCTGGTCAGGACTTAACTTTTCAACATTAATCCATTTCTTAGCCCTGTAATCTACAAACCCCCTCCTCTATCCGACTTTAACTTTTTCAAGACGTTTAAATCTCTTAAAAATGTGGTATGTTTCCTTGCAGGGTGCTCTATCTTCAGGCTTATCATTCTTTACAGTGTCTTGCATTCTCTCTCTGTCCCCAGGAAGTTCTGTAAAGTGGAGATGTTTGATTACATTTAGGATGAAAGCAGAGTTTTACACCAATGAAATGGTTTTTCATGACACCAAAATGAATGTAAACCAGAAGCAAGGGCCAGGGCTTTGCCCAGGGAGGACAGGAAAAACTCCCCAGAGGACAGTGGGGAATGGGGAGAGCTGAGAAGCTCCTTCTCACTAACCCAGGTAACCACAGGTGTATTTTGGTGGGGCCAGGTGAATGCCCATATTGATAATAGAGGCTTTTTTTTTTTTTTTTTGAGATGGAGTCTTGCTGTCACCCAGACTGGAGTGTCATGACACGATCTCAGCTTACTGCAACTTCTGCCTCCCAGGTTCACGCAATTCTCCTACCTTAGCCTCCCAAATAGCTGGGATTACAGGTGCACACCACTACACCTGGCTAATTTTTTTGTATTTTTAGTAGAGACAGGGTTTCACTATGTTGGCCAGACTGGTCTCACTCCTAACTTTGTGATCTGCCGGTCTCAGCTTGGGATTACAGGCGTGAGCCACCGCGCCCAGCATGTTTCGTTGTTTCTGTTGTTGTTCTAGTGACAGGGTCTCACTATGTTGCCCTAGCTGGACTTGAACTCCTGGGCTCCAGCAGTCCTCCTGCCTCAGCCTGCCAGATAGCACACCACCACACTCATCTGGGTTTGCTGTGTGTGTGTGTGTGTGTGTGTGTGTGTGTGTGTGTGTGTGATGGATTCTTGCTCTTTCGCCCAGGCTGGAGTGCAGTGGCGCCAGCTCGGCTCACTTGCAACCTCTGCCTTCTGAGTTCAAGCGATTCTCCTGCCTCAGACTCCGAGTAGCTGGGATTATAGGAATGCACCCCCACGCCTGGCTCATTTTTGTATTTTTAGTAGAGACAGGGTTTCACCATGTTGGCCAGACTGGTCTGGAACTCCTGACCTCAGGTGACCCGCCCGCCTCGGCCTCCCAGAGTGCTGGGATGTCAGGTGTGAGCCACCCCGCCCACCCTTTAGTGAGTCAGTTTTAAGGCACAGTGTTTGACAAGTCTAATGTGCTTTCCATAGAGGATAAGCAGCCCCAGGTTTCTTTTGCTAAAATTGAAGTCCT